GTTCCAGGACTGGCTTGGCCCCACCACTGCTTCCAATCACATGAGGCAGCTGACCTCTGCCAGTGGGAGGCAGCTGACCTCTGCCAGTGGAAGGCAGAAAACGAGTGATACAGCCTTCTTTTTACCCATGTTCAGTGGGTCTCAAGTTCTTCTCCCACACCCAAGAAGAATGAGGTTACATTGAGAACTGAAGGGTGAGGAGGACAAAGAGCTTTATTGAGCCACTAAACAGCTCTCAGTGAAAAGGAGGATGCAAGGGGAGTCATCCACCTGAAGTAGGGTGGTCTTCCTCTCAGTGTAGCTGAGTTTGGGGCTTTTATGGGCTCAGAATGGGGGAGTACATGCTGATTGGTTTCTGAGTATGCAAAAAAGGCTAAAACAAAGGCAGCACTCAAAGAGAGGCACAACAGTGTAAGAAACCAATTAGGGAAGGGTTGGTATATGTAAAATAGGTGAAGGGTGGGGATCAATCAGAGGAAAGTGCACCGAACAGGAAGAGAAATTCTCAATCCAGTCCATGGATTTACCCAGAACTTGTAGCTTGGCTTTCAGGCTTTGAAGGTTTGAAGATTTGTTTTCACTGGGGACCTGTCCCTGTCTGCCTAAGATTTGTCTGCTTCCTGCCATTATTATAACAATAAAAGATAGCTGCAGCCAGGTGCGGTAGCTTACATCTGTAATCCCAGCTCTTTGGGAGGCTGAGGACAGTGGATCCCTTGAGCTCAGGAATTCGAGAATAGCCTGGGCTATGTGGCAAAACTCTATCTCTACAAAAAATACAAAAATTAGCCAAGCATGGTGGTGTAGTGCCAGCTACTCAGGAGGCTAAGGTGGGAGGATCACTTGAGCTCAGGAGGTGGAGGTTGCAATGAGCTCTGACCTTGCCACTGCACTCCAGCCTGGGAGACTCTGTCTCAAAAAAAAAAAAAAAAAAGGCTGCTATTATCGCTTGAAGTCTTAGCTGGGCACTGGCAGAAATGCGAAGCTGAATTAGACGTATCATTTAGAAGGGAAGAGAGAGAGGAAAGTGTATTGTCACTAGATAATAGACTGTGAGCAGTTCTACCAGATTGTTGACCTAAAAGGAAGAGGCTGAGTCACAAAATATAAAGTTACTTGATTCTTCACAGTGAGACAGCTGTCCATAAGACTCAGACCCAAGTAACCTTGGATATGAGCTCCATTAGGCCTTTGTTACAAGGTTTTTTTTTTGAGATGAAGTCTTGCTCTGTCACCCAGGCTGGAGTGCAGGATGTGACCTCAGCTCACTGTACCTCCCAGGTTCAAGCAATTCTCCTGCCTCAGCCCCCCGAGTAGCTGGGATTACAGGCACATGCCACCACATCCGACTAATTTTTTTTGTATTTTTAGTAGAGACCAGGTTTCACTATGTTGGCCAGGCTGGTCCCACACTCCTGACCTTGTAATCTGCCCACCTCAGCCTCCCAAAATGCTGGGATTACAGGCGTGAGTCACTTTTTTTTTTCTTTTTTTTTTTTGAGACAGAGTTTCACTCTGTTGCCCAGGCTGGAGTACAGTGGCATGATCTTGGCTCACTGCAACCTCCACCTTCTGGGTTCAAGTGATTCTCCGGCCTCAGCCTCCTGAGTAGGGGATTACAGGTGCCCACCACTACCCCCGCACTGGCCAATTTTTGTATTTTTAGTAGAGACGGAGTTTCGCCATGTTGGCCAGGATGGCCAATCTCAATCTCCTGACCTTATAGTCCACCTACCTCAGCTTCCCAAAGTGCTGGGATTATAGGCGTGAGCCACCGTGTCCGGCCCACAAGTATGTTTTTAAAGGCAAAAGGCAGGGACAAGGAGTGGGCCCTGGGATATGGGTTACAGTATCCTTGTGGTATTATGTTAATTTATACTTAGTTGTGCCAATAGCAAGCAGTTTGAAGAGACAAATAAATAGCTCAAAAGGAAGAGAGGATGTGGTTGCTGTCTCATTTTAATGTTGTTATTGAATTGAACTTGGGTCTGCTTTCCTAGTGTGCAGAAAAAGCCAAACACTGGCCAGGCACAGTGGCTCACACCTATACTCCCAGCATCTTGAGTGGTTGAGGTCGGAGGATCACTTGAGGCCAGGAGTTCGAGACCAACCTGGCCACATAGTGAGACCCAATCTCTTTCTCTCTTTTATTTTTTGTGGAGACATTGTCTCACTCTGTCGCCCATGCTGGAGTGCAGTGGTGCGATCTCGGCTCATTGCAACCTCTGCTTCCCAGGTTCAAGTGATTCTCCTGCCTCAGCCTCCTGAGTAGCTGGGATTACAGGCAGGTGCCACCATGCCTGGCTAATTTTTGTATTTTTCATAGCGATGGGGTTTCACCATGTTGGTCAGGCTGGTCTCGAACTCCTGACTTCCTTGGCCTCCCAAAGTGCCGGGATTTCAGGCGTGAGCCACTGCACCCGGCAGAGACCCAATCTCTTAAACTAAAAAATAAAAAAGTTAGCAGGGCGTGGTGGCATGTGCCAATTATCCCAACTACTCAAGAGGCTGAGGTGAGAGGATCACTTGAGTCTTGGAAGTAGAGCTACAATGAACTGTGATTGCCACTGCACTCCAGCCTGAGCAACAGAGGAAGACTCTTTCAAAGAAAAAAAAAGGCCAAACAGTGACACTGGGACCTGCAGCAAAAGAAAGCGTGACAACTATTGCAGATGCCAAGCAAGGAGAATCAGGCAG